GGGGGGGGGGGTTGCAGAGAGAGAGTCCTAAGCAGCTTCCACACTGTCAGAGCAGAGCCTGACGCAGGGCTCGACCCTACGAACCGCGAGATCATGACCTGACCCGAGATCAAGAGTCAGATGCTCAGCTGACAAAACCACCCAGGTGCCCCAGAGAAGGCAACATTTTTAACACACAAGAACATGCATTCAAGACAATCAGTGCTATTATTATGTTGTATTATGTATTATATTCTGTTGTATTGTAAAACATTCTAATTGTTTCCACACTCTTGATTCCTGCTCCTTCCCTGATGTGCCTGAGCGCCTCTGGGCCAGGCCCTGGGCTTAGGTGTTGAGGATTCAATGGTGAATCGTTACATGGGCGCCTTGTTCACGGAGCTGACATCTGTCACAGGACTCGGTTTATAATCACAGCCGTGAACTGAGCGAACCCCAAAGGACATGCTAGACTGTGAATGCCCAGGGGCCGTGGACAAAGCAAAAGGGCGGGGCAGCATTTCATGGATTCTAGACTCTAAGGCTTGCTTGCCGGCTGCTCTTACAGATTGTGTTGAATTTTCACTTCTTAGGAAGGAGCCTCTGATTCCGACCCCTCTGGCTGGGATCCAGGCAAGTTCTAAGACGGCTGCCCTTCCTTTTATTTATCTCTTCCTCATTGCACCTCCCGTGAAGCAAAGTGAACGGTGAAGTCATCGGGCAGAGGGGGTGGACTGGGACTCAGAGAGCTCGGGGCTGCAGCACCATCCCGGAGGGAACTGGTTCCATAGACATCACTCTAGGGATAGCTGGGCCATTGTCTTCGTAAACAGACATTTTTATTAAAGTGTGACGCATGTACAGAACAGCGTGCAAAATGGGAAACGTACATCTCAGTGTGTTACTGTGAAATGAACACGCTTGCGTATCTACCACACATCCTCTCCACTTGTTAGCTCTTCTCTCTTTCACAAATACAACCATTAGTGGCGCCTGGGTGGCTCAGTCGGTGAAGCGTCCGACTTCGGCTCAGGTCATGCTCTCGTGGTCCGTGGGTTCAAGCCCCGCGTCGGGCTCTGTGCTGACAGCTCGGAGCCTGGAACCTGCTTCG